ATTAGACTGTAAAAATTATAATTTTGCCATTTTCGTACAAAAAATACAAAAAAATCTAGATTTTAACATGTTTAATAAGTATTGTGTACATATTTACTTATAAAATAGGGTTCTTACGGTTCTTAAACTTTTGTTGTTCTCATTTGAACCACTCCATATATATATATATATATATATATATATATATATATATATATAATCTTTATCTTTATCTTTATATAAAATATATTTAACGTTTCTTGAATTTTAAGAGGTAAAAAACTAATACAGCATATACAATTATGCATATTATTCTGTTGGAGGATCTGAAAATGAAGAATTATATGAAGATGCACATTTGGATTTTGATTCAACATATCCACCACTCGAAAAATAGACAATAGATCATCCGAAAGAACAAGTTATTGGGAATCCTCAAGAAGGTGTTTTGACAAGAACTCAAATTCGTGCCAAGAATGAGGTACTGAATACTCATCAAGAATTTTGCATGTTTAATGTTTTCATCTCTAAAATAGAACCAAATACAATTAAAGTTGCAATGGAACACTCTGATTGGGTTGTTGCAATGCAATCCGAATTGGCTGAATTTGAACAAAACAAGGTTTGAAGATTAATTCCTAAACCTGATGATGTTTCTATTGTTGGATTAAAATGGATTTTCAAAAATAAAACCGACAAGGATGGAAATATTATTCGAAATAAAGCCATACTTGTTGTAAAAGGCTATTCACAACAAGAAGGAGTAGACTATGAAGAAACTTTCGCCCCTATCGCAAGACTCGAGGTAGTTCAAATATTTTTGGCTTATGCCACTCACAAAGATTTTGAAGTTTATCAAATGGATATGAAGTGTGCATTCTTGAATGGACATCTGGAAGAAACTGTGTATGTGGAACAACCTCCGGGTTTTATAAATGAAGAACATCCTAATTATTGTTATATTTTAGATAAGGCAGTTTATGGGTTAAAACAAGCACCACGAGCCTAGTATGCAACTATAACTTTTTTTCTTGAAATAATGAAAGTTTAAAAAAGGATCAGTTGACCCCACATTATTTCGAAATAAAGTTGGGAATCATCTAATACTTGTTCAAATTTATGTTGATGATATTATTTTTGGTTCAACTGACCCTACTTTGTCTAAAGAATTCGAAAATCTGATGAAAAGAAAATTCGAGATGAGTATGATGGGAAAAATCAATAATTTTCTTGGGTTGAATATTCATCAAAACAGAGAAGGAATTTTTATCAATCAAGAAAAATATACCAAGAATTTGCTTGAAAATTGTGGATTGACGAATAGCACAAAGTTACGAGTTCCAATGGCAACTGGCACTAAGCTAACACCTTCGTTAGATAAACTTCCTGTTGACTTAACTCTTTACATAAGCATGATAGGTTTGTTAATTTATGTCACAACAAGTAGACCTGATATCATGTTTTCTATTTGTAATTATGCTAGGTATCATTCGAATCCATGAGAACCACATCTCATGCAGTGAAAAATAATTTTCGTTATCTCAAAGGATCAAGTTCGTTAGGATTGTCGTATCCTTTGAAAAATGGATTTTTCATTCAATCATTTTCGGATGCTTACTTAGGTGGTTGCAATTTGGATAGAAAAAGCACAAGTGGAGGTTGTCAGTTACTAGATGGAAAATTGGTAAGCTGGCAGTCAAAGAAGCAAACATGTGTTTCAATTTCGACTGCAGAAACAGAATATGTTGCTGCAGCAGCCTAAACTTCACAAATCATTTGGATTCAAATCAACCGCGTAGTTATTCAATAAAGATGAAAAATATTCTATTATATTGTTACTCACAAAGTGTTATACGTATTTGTCACAATCTAGTTCAACATTTGAAAACAAAACATATTGCACTTCGTTATCATTTCATCAAAGATCATGTTGAAGATGGCAATATTGAAGTTCATTTTGTAAAAAGTACTGATAAGCTTTCTGATATTTTTACAAAACCATTGGACGAAAAATCATTTTTTAGAATTTTGACAGGTTTGGGAATGGTCTAAGGGGAGTCTATTTCGAAAGAATAGCAAAAATTTGACAGTTGTTAAAGTCAAAGGTTATTGTTCATAGTCAATACTTCGACATGCTTCGTTTTTGTAAACAGGAGCTAAAAATTTAGTGTGTCTGGTACATTCTCAATATTTTTGATATTTGTCTTTTTTTAAAAAATTGAAAAACAAAACAAATTCATTTGTATTTATTTCTTTTCGAAAAATCAAAATTATCAAAAAGATTTTCTTTTGTTATTTGTCTAAATTTTTGAAAAACATAAAATCACAAAAACATTTTTCTCTTTTTTCAAAAATATAAAATTCCAAAAAGATTTTTTTTTATTTTGTATTATGTCTTTTCTTTATTAAGTACAAATTTCACGAAGGTTTTACATGGGTCATGCTTTTGCTTCAAGGGAAAGGTAAATTTTCGTACTAGTTAGGATTCCCTAGAAGCATGTTGCTGCATATTGACCCAAGTCTCCAATGACTCAATGTGTGTTCTACGAAACCCTTAATGAAAACTTTCTTACGAAAATTTCTTCCCATGTCAGGCTTGTATTCATATTACTCACCTGAGCTACCTTAGTCTTCTCAAATGAGTTATGAGTTTTCTGTTTGGTCCGAAAATAACAGAGGTACAAGTTGTTTCTCAAACAATCTTTTTCATCCGAAAGTTCTTGCATGAGCACACACAATGACATATGTCCAAGAGGTCTTTTATCAAACCCGTCGAAGACTTAGACATATAAACGTTTTGTGTTAATGATTTGACATCATGAGACTGTGATGAAAGTGAAACCCAATTTTCTAAACCTTATTAAAGAATTGACGGGGAACTTTGTTCCATATTGTAACGAAACATTTGTTTCAGTACCAATCTTCGAAACTCCAAATCATATTCATTTCTCAACACAAATATTTTTTTATGAGTATGATTTCCGTGTGAGTTTTATTCGATTTCTAAGCCAATTTCAAGATTAATCTACAGCCTACTTGTCACTGACTTCACTGGTCAAACAGGTAATTTCTGTTATAATTACTCACCTTATGTTTACGATGATATGTAACAAAATTTGTAAACCACCCACGAAGTATTATAAAAGAAGCCCTTCGAAACTTCTCCATAAGTTTTCGATTGTAATTCATGGGACACCACACAAGCAGTTGATTAACTCTCTTGATAATTAACGAAGTAACCTTTGCCTGAGGTTTAACTGCTTTCCTGTTAATTTTTTTTGACATCACAAATCCAAAGTTTTTTATTTCAAAATTGATTCTTATCTTCTTTCTTTGGCACACTACACTCACAAAATCCTTGAGGTTCTGAGTAATACCAACTCAGGCTGATGATTTCAAACGTCTGGCACATGACTTCTCTTTTCATCCCAAAAGTGAAAGAGCCGTATTTCCATCCGAAGGTTGATGACGATTACAATTCCATTGGGCGAATCAATACAAGCTGTTTGAAGCAACATCTTGTATTCTGTCTGCTTTTCAAGGAGAAGTAACAATTATTTTTTCACGCATGGCTATTTTATCGGAATAGTGGTGCGATTTTCAAGGTATCACATTGAATTTCATTTAATGCACATCCCACTTCAAATTCAAATTCCCGGGTTACATATAAAAGGGGATTCAAGGGTTCTTTATCAGTTTACGCTTTCAAAGGAACTCCTAAATTGATAAAGTTTTCTCTGAGTGTTTATCAAAGCTTTCAAAACCCTAATCATGACTACTCCAACTGATGTTAATGCTCCATCACAAACAACATAAGAAATTACTTCCCAACCAATCATGAAGATTCAAGGCACAAATTATCAAGTCGGAGCAGATGTATCACTCTATCCAGAAGAGTTGAAGATGTTGATAATTTCTTTGAAAAGTTCTGTTCTTTCTACGGCCATGTTCAACTCGTTTGCAGTTCCTCTATCTTGACTTTCTCAAGCAGGATCTACTGCCACATATAGTAAAGCTTTGGATATTATCACGTTTCATATGGTGAATGACAAGAAGGTTTGTTTGAAAAAGAAGTTGTTCTATCAAATTTTGGATATTCCTAACTCTTCACCATACACTAATCTTTCGTTTCCACAAATTTTTCATATGTTCAATGAGATGGGTCATCAACCCCTACTCACCAAGATAAGTGATTTCAAGAAGTCTGGACTTCCGACTATTTGGAATTTTCTCTTTGGAATTTTCTTACGCTGCTTGACTGGTTGTAGTGTTGGCTTAGATAAAGGTTGAATGGAAGTTTATACTATGGTTGCAGGTCTGTACTATGACATTCTAGTTGATTACTATACACAGATGTGGAAGGAGTTCCAGAAAAGTGTTGAGAACACCAATGTAGCTTAAGGAATTTCATGTGCGAGATATTGGAGTTTGATTTTTCGTTAGGTTTATGATAAAAAAGGGATTGAGGTGCCAGCTAAGGAAGAAACTGTTGAATTCTTGAAGTATCATTTTCTAAAGGAAGTTACTGATGATGCTGAGCTGTTAACACACACTGCAAGGATCCTTGATGCAATGTTAAAGCGTGTTGATCCCACCAATTCAGTCTTAGTAGAGTATTTGACAACCATTAATCCTGATGTCGAAACAAGGAAGTTGTTGTCAAAGGCAGAAGTAGGTCCTTCTAAGAAGTCAAGAACATCAAAGAAGAATGCAACAACTACTCCTGAGAAACTTGTTTAGGAGTCAAAGAAAACAAAGTCACCAAAGAAACATACGAAGCTAGAAGAACATGTTTCGACGGTTGTGATTAAGTCAGCAGAGCTTGTTATTGATGAACTAGCTAAGGTCACTAATCCATCAAAATCTAGTGTCTTTCGAAGACTAAAGAAGCAGTCTACTGGTTCATGAAAATCTCCTACTTTAACTTTGGTTCGAAAACACCACATTACTCATCAGGGAGTTCGTATTTGTGAGGTTCTAATTCTTGTTTCTCCTTTATCAAAGAAAAAAGAGCTGAAGATATGGCTAAGCATATGTCCAAGAAGAAGAAGACGAAGTCACGAAAGCTGGTCATTCAAGAAGAATCTTCTGGAGACAAAGTTATTCTTGAAACACCTGAAGCAACTCTTACAAAAGAAATTTCATCTCCTGAGAAGACAACTGTCATACCACCCGAAGTTTCGTTAGCCAAGTCATTTCATTACAAGGTTTAAACTTCAGACATCACTACAAACGTATCTAATATGGATGTAAATGTCACTATGGATGAAGGAGATTTGAATCAAGAAGATCCAAAATCTACTTAAGGTACTCCTGTTATCCTTCCCATTGAAAATGTCACCAGTACCAATGTTTCATTACCACCATATATCATTCTCAATCCATCTATCACTTCTTCACGCACTTTCACTCAATTCCTTAATCAACCATTCACTACACTATTTTCTTCCCAATCCACTGATCCACCTAAATCGGATGAGCCACCCACGCCTGTTGAAGAATCTGAAAATGAAGATACATGATGTGGTGGTACTTTCGCAGATCTTGAATTTGACGAGTAAGAATAGAATTTTGTTGATCACATGCTCATGTCGATGAAGCAGTTTAAGATTCTGAATAAAAAGTTAAATTCTGTTATTCTGTCTCAAGCTGATATGGGGGAAGTTAGTCAGGTTCAAGTTTTGAAATTGAAGGGTTGTTGAAGATATTCGAAGCCAGGATGGTTAGTAAAGTTTCTGGAATGATTAAAGATTCGGAATCGCGATTGTTGGAAAAGGTGGACCATTCTGATCAGAATAATGAGTTACGTGTGAACTCTCAGAATTCGAAGTTTGTGGGGGCAGTGAAAGAATTAAAACAAGTTGCAAAAGAGAGACATACTCTGTTTAGTCTTGATGTGAAGAAGGTTACAGAAGATGTGAATTTTAAGCTTCAATAGATTCTTGCCAATATGGGAAAAGAGATTGCTAGAGTTCAACAAGACTATGCATCCCTACATAAGAAAGTGGATGTTATCTGTGATGCTGATATTTGCATATTTAGCTATATTTTTATGTTGGATTTTTATCATTTAATGGATAATTAATTGCATATTATGTACAAAAGATACTTAATATTGTTCAATTTATATTTTCAGCCAAAAAAAAAAGAAGCTCGGAAACAAAAGGAAGCAGGAGATAGGAACGCAAGCTCAGGAACGAAAGAAAGAAGAGAAGGGTTTAATTCTGAAGCTACTCGGTGAGTTGGATCATCTAGTCGGCGAGTAGATGTGAAGGTTCACAAAGCAACACCTGGAATCCTTGTCGTACACGGATTTTAAGTGAAGAACTTGCCGAGTAGGTCACTGGACTCGGCGAGCAGCCCCTGTTTTGAGAAAACTATAAATAGAACTCACAAACCCAAATTGAGGACTTTTCTGGAAACCTAGGAGGCTGCTGAACGATTAGAGGTACTACTAGGATGTGAGAACCTGGAGAATCAACCCTATATTCAATTGTGAAGAGAATCAAGGCAATTTTGGTTTATTCTTAATCACCTTTTGATTTGAATCATGTCTACATACTTTGATTTCGGTTTTCAGTTTATGTTTATTGCAATCATGAGCTAAAACTCGTAACTTCTGCTTAGGGTAGATGAAATTGTGAACATGGATTGATTATTTGATTTGGATTAATTTTAATTGGTGATTATGTTTTATTAAGCTTGTTAAAGAACCTTATGTGTTAGCAATAACTATTCTTCTGTTAACAAATTAGTAATCAAGTTGTATGAACATCTCTTAGTTATTAATTTCATATAATTTATTGTGACCACATATTTGTATGTCTAGGAATAGAGAATGTGAAAGTTAAGAACCGCTATCCGTTACCGAGGATCGATGATCTATTTGATCAGTTGCAAGGGGCATCTTGGTTTTCCAAGATTGACTTGAGATCAGGGTACCATCAGGTAAGAGTGCGGGATGAGGACGTCCAGAAGACAGCCTTTAGGACGCGGTATGGGCATTACGAGTTCGTGGTGATGCCTTTTGGGCTCACCAATGCCCCAGCAGTGTTCATGGATCTCATGAACAGGGTATGCAGGCCGATGCTGGATCGGTCTGTGATTGTGTTCATCGACGACATTCTGGTGTATTCGCGGTCTAGGGAGCAGCATGAGGGACATTTGAGGGAGGTCCTTGAGGTACTGAGGTCGGAGAAGCTATATGCAAAATTCTCCAAATGCGACTTCTGGTTACGGGAAGTTCAATTTCTGGGGCACGTTGTAAATCAGGTAGGGATATTGGTCGATCCGGCCAAGGTGGAAGCGGTGATGAGTTGGGAGGCACCGAAGTCACCTTCGGAGATCAGGAGTTTCCTTGGGTTGGCGGGGTACTATCGAAGGTTCATTAGGGACTTCTCCAAGATCGCGGTGCCACTTACCAAATTGACCCGAAAGGGTGTTACATTCTCATGGGGACCCGAGCAGCAGACTTCCTTCGAGACACTTCGTCAGAGACTGTGCGAAGCACCAGTACTGGCTCTTCCGGAAGGGATGGAGGACTTTGTCGTATATTGTGATGCATCGATTTCAGGACTGGGTGCAGTGTTGATGCAGAGGGGCCATGTGATAGCCTATGCATCGAGGCAGTTGAAGCCTCACGAAGCGAGATATCCCACACATGACTTAGAGTTGGGGGCAGTAGTGTTCGCCCTCAAAATTTCGCGTCACTACCTGTACGGGGTTCGTTGTACCATATACACGGACCATAAGAGTTTGAAGTATTTGATGGATCAACCCAACCTAAACATGCGTCAGAGGAGATGGTTAGATGTGGTTAAGGATTATGACTGTGAGATCCTATACCACCCAGGCAAGGCTAATGTGGTATCTGATGCATTGAGTCGTAGGGCGGAGAGTACTCCATTGCGGGACGTATGTTTGAGATTGACGGTGATGACTCCGGTATTAGATACTATTCGTGGGGCACAGGCCGAGGTTGTGAAGTCTGGGATGCAGAAACAGGAGCGGGTCGTCGGGTTGATTTCAGAGTTCGTTACGGATGGGCGGGGACTTCTGACATTTCAGGGTCGGATCTGGGTGCCATTCGTGGGCGGTACGCGTGTTACTTTGATGGAGGAGGCACATAGATCGAAATTCTCGATCCATCCCGGTGCTACGAAAATGTATCTGGATTTGAAAAAGGAGTACTGGTGGCCTTGCATGAAGAGAGACGTTGCCTGGTTCGTTGAGAGGTGTTTGACCTGCCGTAAAGTTAAGGCCGAGCACCAGAGACCGCACGGTAAGTTGCAACCCTTGGAGATCCCTGAGTGGAAGTGGGATCAGATCACGATGGATTTCATCACCAAATTGCCGAAAACTGCCAGGGGAGTCGATGCGATTTGGGTGATTGTGGATAGGCTAACAAAGAGTGCACACTTCCTTCCCATTAGTGAAAGTTCATCAGCAGAGAAGTTGGCAAAGTTGTACGTGAGAGAGATAGTATCTCGGCATGGAGTGCCGACCTCGATTGTTTCGGATCGCGATGTACGTTTCACTTCCAGGTTCTGGAAGAAATTTCATGAGGAGTTGGGTACTAAGCTGCATTTTAGTACCGCATACCATCCCCAGACCGACGGTCAGAGCGAGCGGACGATTCAGACATTGGAAGACATGCTTAGAGCGTGTGTGTTAGACTTCGGGGGTAGCTGGGATGCGCATCTGCCGTTGGCTGAGTTTTCCTACAACAACAGCCATCATTCGAGCATTGGTATGCCACCTTTTGAGTTGTTGTATGGTAGGAGGTGTCGGACTCCCATTTGCTGGGGAGAAGTGGGACAGAGAGTGATGGGCAGTACAGAAATTGTACTTCAGACGACCGAGCAGATTCAGCGTGTGAGGCAGAGGTTATTGACCGCCCAGAGCCGACAGAAGAGTTATGCGGACAGACGCCGATCCGAGCTCGAATTCCAGGTCGGCGACTTCGTTCTCCTAAAGGTTTCTCCTTGGAAAGGGGTAATTCGGTTCAGGAAGAGGGGCAAATTGGGGCCCCGGTTCATAGGTCCATTTCGGGTAATTGCAAGGGTAGGTCGGGTAGCTTATCGGTTGGAGTTGCCAGTAGAGCTGAGTCAGATTCACAATACCTTCCACGTGTCGCAGTTGAGGAAGTGTATAGCCGATGAGGCAGCAGTGGTTCCGTTAGAAGATATTCAGGTGGATGCGAGCCTGAATTACGCCGAGAGACCAGTAGCTATCAGGGATCGGAAGATCAAGGTTCTACGGAACAAGGAGATACCTCTGGTGTTGGTTCAGTGGCAACATCGGAAAGGATCGGAGATGACTTGGGAGCCGGAAAGAGAAATGCGGGAGCAACATCCGGAGTTATTCGCAGAATGAGAGACTTCGAGGGCGAAGTCTAGTTCTAGTGGGGGAGAGTTGTAACAGCCCGGATTTCAGGTATTTCTTTAAATTATTTTTGGGCACATTTAAGAGGGGACTCGGCGAGTAGGTGCATGACTCGCCGAGTAGGGCCATGGTCTTGGACGCAGTCGCAGATACGCGACTGGACTCGACGAGTCCAAATAGGGACTCGGCGAGTCGACGCTGTTTCAGCTGAACCCTAGCCGTTTCATTTCTGATCGTATATAACGATCTTATGGCCGTCATGTCGCGTCTTTTGGCCGATTGAAGATACCCTGGGAGTGTGTGAGCATCTGAAGCAAGAGAGAGGACTTGAGGAGGCTTGAAGAGATTGTTAGACAAGGAGGAGCAAGGTGGTGATCAAAGGAATCGAGTACTGGAGGTTTGGAGACACAGGGAACACGTTTCCAGGTAATCTTCGGATCGAAATCTGTAACTTTTACGTTGTATGCGAGTTTAGGGTTTAGGAAACCCATTTAAGGATTTGTTAGATTATATTGTTGTTATAAGTGTTAAAAACCCCTGTAATAGTATATGTGAAAGTCCAGGAAGCCCCATATCTATATACTTCGAAATCATGCGAAATACAGGAGGCAGCGGATTGACTGCATGGCGAGGACTCGCCGAGTCCAATGATCAGACTCGGCGAGTAGCTTGAAGATTCACTAGAACTCGCCGAGTTGTTCTTCAGACTCGGCGAGTAGCTTGAAGGTTCACTAGGACTCGCCGAGTTGTTCTTCAGACTCGGCGAGTAGCTTGAAGATCTACTGGAACTCGTCGAGTCGTTCTTCAGACTCGGCGAGTGGTGTCAGGGTGTCTATACTCGTCGAGTTACCCTTTGCACTCGACGAGTCCGGTCAAGATTGACCGTTGACCTGTATATAACTTAGTAGGGTCAGTTGTCTTGTTTGATAAGATCATTAACAAAGGATGTGGTATTATAGGGAACCTGCGGATTAGCGGATCGTGTGCGAGTAGCTCGAAGGGTTTATAGCTTGCATACTACGAGGTGAGTCTTCTCACTATACTTCACCCGGAAGGGTTTGACTGTGAGACCGGAAGGTCGTATGTGTTATATTCATGCTATGTCTAGAGAGGTAGATGCTTTATATGTGATGTATGCTTATATGTGATGTATGCTTATACGGGCCGGAAGGCGAGACTTTATGTGATAGAAAGGACGGTATGATGTATGACTTATGTGTTATGTGTATTATGTTACATGTGTTATGTTTTATACTATCATGGGCCGGAAGGCAAAATACTATGGGCCGGAAGGCAATTTAATACGGGCCGGAAGGCGATATATATTATGGGCCGGAAGGCGATTATGTTACGGGCCGGAAGGCAATGTTATGTGGACCGAAAGGTCCGGGCCGGAAGGCGTATGTGGGTAAGTCGTATACTGGGGAACTCACTAAGCATTTATGCTTACTAGTTGTGTTTATGTTTTTCAGGTACTAGTGATGACCGTGGAAAGGCGCCGGCGTGACACGTACACACTGCCACTGTTGAAGATCCTGGAGATTTATTATTTAT